ATCACGAATGGCATCGCCAAGAGCATCACCGAGATCATCTTCTGCCGCTACCTCTTCTTCATCTCCCCCCATTGTAGTATCATCAAAGGCACCATACTGAGCAATAATGTCATCAATGTCTAAATCTTCTCCTTCACCTTCTTCCATCATGACCCTGCTTTCTCCATGCTTAGTCCAACATATATAGTTTGACATGAAACCTAACTTAAGCAAATGTGAATGAAGACTCATTGAGTTTGAATATTTCTTTAAATTCTTACATAGGGCACATGGACAGCACATGAAACCATCCCGCTTATTTGCCTCGGCCACACCTAAGAAATAGTGCACACCCTTAATAAAGTCTTAGGAGCGGCGATCGGCATTGTACATCCAATGGCGTGACATAATCTGCATTACACGATAAATTATGAAAACCTTGAACATAATTAAGTATTTTATTACACAACATAGATGACACACACAAGGTTGATTAATTAACTAAGTCTGGCTACAACGTAAGCAATCCCAACTATCACTAAACAAACTAAAACTACAATGCACTTTAGTAACATAATTATTTCGTGACCGTACGCAACTAAAACAGACAAATCATTCGTCTGTTGAATATCAATAAGCTTCTCCTGCTGGCTCACTGCCTCATCATCAGCAGCCGCTACCTCAAGCGCACCCGAATTCTGCACGTATGTAGCATAATCTTCCTCCCAGTACCAACAATCGCATCTATTGCCCTCCCACTGAAATTAAAGCCAAAAAATATTTAGTCAAAAATATTCAAGAAAAGCAGGTCAATTAGCCATAATAATCAAATGCGTAAGAAACTCACATCGCGATCCGGGCACTTGTAGAAAACATGACCCTTGTTGGGTCCCTGTCTCTTGACTCAGTACTCCATCACAATCTTCTGCTTACACTTGCCGCAGATAATGAGAGGGAGTTCTGGCCTCAGTCGTTTCGCAACCGAACGAGAGGCCGAGGATCCGGTACCAGTTGTCATCTACTTTATATACTTATTTTTGCAAATTAGTGTAAATTTCATATTTTCTAAAATAATATATTTAAACAAAACCAAAATTATTTATTTATCTAACTAAACCATGAAATATGTACTATGTATAATAGTAAAATACTAAACTATCAAGTGATTTTACTATTGTAAAACATCATGTGATTTTGAGCTAAAAATGACATAGAAATCACATAGCTCAAAAACATGTTTCAATAAATAACCATGCGTACTAGTTAACCTTGATTACGTGATCATCTCGGCGAGCATTTCTTCACCGGACGACACCATACTTGGCCAAGGAAGAGCTCTGATTCTACGAGGAAGGGAACACGGTCTTCCACGACCGTTGCCACTCTCCCTCGTAGAATCAAAGCTCCTCCTTGACGTCCGTTACTGCTCGGCAGAGAACATGCTCGCCGAGATGAACACGGTCCGCAAGTTCAACTAGTACGGATTTTTTATATTTTTCTAACTATTTTCTTAGTTTTTCATTTCATGGAAAATTTAATTCTAAAAAATAAAAGGCATGATTTCTAAGTATTTCATTTCATGGAAAAAATAATTCTAAGTGACCTGCTCGATATCGGCGAGCTCGCGGACGTTTAGGTTGCCGAGGATAGTAACATTTGTAGATAACATTTGTAGGTCTGAAGTTATCAAATATCCATCAAATTATAGCTCAAAAACATGTTTCAATAAATAACCATCCGTACTAGTTGATCTTGCTTACGTGATTATCTCGGCGAGCATTTCTCCACCGGACGGCACCATACTTGGCCAAGGAAGAGCTCCGATTCTACGAGGAAGGGAACACGGTCTTCCACGACCGTTGCCGCTCTTCCTCGTAGAATCAAAGATCCTCCTTGACGTCCGTTACCGCTCGGCAGAGAACATGCTCGCCGAGATGAACACGGTCTGCAAGTTCAACTAGTACGGATTTTCTATAATTTTCTAAGTATTTTCTAAGTTTTTTATTTCTTGAAAAATTTAATTCTAAGATCACGTAAGATTTTGATGAACTAGTTTAACTTTTGTTTATCCAAATATATATGCAAATCATCATGTGATTTTGAGCTAAAAATGACATAAAATCATAATAAAGTCCAACATATAAAGTTACACATGCATCTACATCGCAAAATGAGATAAGCTATTGATAAAACATAAGAGGATTAAGTTTGTTACCTCTAAAATTGAAGAGCAACACCAATGGAGGAGGAGAGAGCAAGAATAACAGCAAGCTGAAGAACAGAGACAGTGAGTTTGAATGGAATGGCTCGGGCTTGAAGAGGAAGAAATAAGCTGGTTTATAGGCCGGGATAATTAGTCCCAGTTAGGGAGCCAAACCGAGACTAAAGATTAATCTTTATTATTCGGGACATCACCCAAACTGGGACTAAAGATCCCTGCACCGCGGACGACTGTTGGACATGAACCTTTACTCTAGTAGTGTGATGTGGATTGAATTAATTTAAATAAATTCATAGAGAGAGAGAGTGTGTATATATATATATATATATATATATATATATATATATATATACACACACACATATAATCAAGTTTCATGCCTAAATGTCTAATGTCTTCAGCCCTTCACTCTAATCAGAACAAAAGAAAACACAAACAAATCAAATCAGCTGACAACAACATTAGTAAATTATTAAATCAAGGATTTGCTAGCACGCTGGGACTCTATAGGTCTAATTAACTTACCTATTACAGCCAGTCCAGGCACAGATTCAGAGTCACAAGCAGGCCAAGATCGGAAGGCACTAGGCAGGAAGAGGACACTCGGTAGACGGGGTCGATGCTCAGTTCTTGCGATATTGCGGCAGATGAATCATCGAGTGTAATGCTTCGGCTTGTGGGGCACGGTGGCAGATGAATCGCATGCCAGTCAGGCACACGGCAGGCAGCAATGCGTCGTGAAGCCGCACGCGAGCATGGCGAAAGGGGCGCCGGGCAGGGGCGACCGAGCGACGGAGTCACGGAGATGTATTCTGGGGCTTCGTTTGTGGGCTGCCAGAAACTTTTGTTGTATTGGGCCTTCGAGTGACTTTTCCAAAATACGTATAAACTTGTGTATTAGTGTATATTATACATATTAATTTTTTCTCCTAAATCATGGGTATGCCAAGGCATACAGGGGCATACCCCTGCCGCCGCCCATGCTCCGGGCCGCCGTGCCCACGGTGACTCGCCTGGACAAGGCGTCCCTTCTCGCCGACGCCGTTGGCTACATCACCAAGCTGCGCGGCCGCGTCGAGCAGCTCGAGGACGAGGCCAGGCGGCAGACGACGGCGGCCTCTCTCTCCCAGCTCTCCTTGCTTATTGGTGGCTCCCGTCAGGAGCTGGAGGTGCGGATGCACGGGCGGGACACCGCTGCGCTGCGCCTGATGACTACCGTGGCGCGCCATGCCCCCGCGCGCCTCATGGCCGCGCTCTGCGCGCTGGACCTGCCGGTGCAGCACGCGTCCGTGTGCCGCGTGGGCGGCGTCACCGTGCAGGACGTCGTCGTGGACGTACCCGCGGCCGGGCTGCGGGGAGAGGACTGCCTCCGCACCGCACTGCTGCACAAACTACTGCAGTAGAGCGGGTAGATGGCGCGCGGGCTCGCCCGGCCACCAACCCACCCGGCATGCACTAGTTACTTCGATCGGCCCCATTATTCCAAAATCAAGCTGCCTTAATTTCTTAATTTGCCATGCACGTTTTTTTTTCCTACTCATTGTTGATGGTGTCAACTGCATGCGCTTCCTTGCACATGCACTAACAGAAGTACTAGAACCAAAGGCCCATACCCCATACTAGGCTCTGTTTGGAAGTTCTGTAAATTATTTCATCCGTAGTCTGCTTCCGTCTGTAATTTCTTGTGCACAGGAAGACAACCTGTGTTGGGCCCGACAAGGTGAAATAAGAAGCGAGGCACGGAACTCTTGGAAGCGAGGCACGCGAAGGATGACGTCCCGAATAGCCTCCACTCTCAGAACACTATTACCGAGGCACGGAACTCTTCGTAATCGAGCCGAGTGATCTATCTCTTTATTGGTATTTGAGTTCTCCTTTTATAGGGTACGATTACACATGTATTTTCTTGTACACATGCCCTTCCCCTACTACAGAATATACCTGAATATTTCCAGTTGTACAACATCCGTGGTCATAGGGGCCAGTCTTTTTCTATTACAACAGCCACGCCTAATAGGCCCTAGTCGAGTTGTCGCCACTCTCATTGGGCCACTGTGTCCATCTGCGGGTCCTCGGAGACGAAGGCCGACCACCTTCTAGCTTGCAGAACCTTTGTCATGAATTTTTCAAAGGCTTCCTCAAAGGCCCTTGTCAAATGGAGCCTCATTGTCCTTCTGGGGCCTTCACATGATTGCCTTCGGCTCGAGCCTTCATCGCATAGCTTCGGGCCTTCAACGCTGGGCAAAGGTCTTCCTGGACCATCGGCCACCCTCGACTCCATGGGGCCTTCTCAGGAATCCTCTGAATACCTTGTTATGTACCTGCACCCATAGGGCCAGTTTGGACAATAGGAGGCAATCACTATTAGCGGACCTTGGGTGTGAGGCTTTGCCCTCAACAGTTCTCCTTCGCGGGTAAGGTTTGATGCAGACAAGCCTGATCCTCGAAAAAGGGCGGTCGCCTCAGGCCCGAGGGTTCGCTCCCCTGGGCTCGTTTGTGTCAGGTCTGTTTTGTGTTCACTTTTGATGTGTAGGCTGCGGCTTGGCCTTCTAGAGGCACTACAGTCGAAACAAGCGGGCAGAAGTTCGATCGCCGCTTGGGCCACTATAAAAGGTGGGGGGTAGAAGTAAAACATAGATACCCCTTGTCGCTTTCTTTGGGGTGAAAATTTTAGCCTCTAATACGTGAAGCCTTCGTCCTTATACTGTGGAGGTGGCTTTTCTTCTGTGGTTGGGGTTCATGGTACATACTGGCTAGCGTTAGAGATAAAGACTATGACTTGATCTTTGAGCGTTCCATGATGGCCAATGTGAGGTCCCTGGAATATCTCAAGGAGAATCTTAGCGATGTCGAGGCTGACGTCGATGATCTAGTTACCAATGAAGGCAAGGCTGAGATCGAGAAGACCTTTGAGTTCATGTCTTTGTTAACCAGCAAGGCTGACTTGAAGAGGTACACGGGCCTTGGGTGGTTCAAGGAGGAGAGGGTGAGGCTTCCTAAGGGAGAGACAAAGGTTGAGCCCCAGTGCAACGAAGGCTGAGCCGCAGTGCAATGAAGAGGTGTTTTTAGGACCTTTTTGATGAGGACATGACACCCATGCATATGACCATGTTTGGCGCATGGTATGGAGGGGTAGGAGGCCAGCAAGGGTGTCCAAGTCAAGAAGGAGGCCCGAGGCTAATTCGGTTCGAGTCCCCGAGGTGGAGGCCCAAAGCAACTCAAGTTCGAGTCTGCCTCGGCCTACAGGACCAGTCTGCCTTAAACTGGTCACCCAGGACACATCCGGACTCCATTTTCGATGATGCACATATGGTTGGAAAGCTAATTTGATAAGGAATACAATCCAAGTGGGCTCACATCAAAATCCCTTCAGAATCAACGGGGATCATCAAAACAAGTCAGCGTCCAGAATCTGCCAGGGTGCTGCGACACCGTCTTTTGGTCCGTTGGACCGTGTATCGTGTTTGGGCCCATTAGGGGGCGCGTCCAGGGTAGGCGACGACCCTAAGACCTTTATAATCATATATCGCCGCCGTCATTAGGTTTTGGGTTTTGCTTAGATTAATCTGTCAAGAACAGTTTCGCCGTTCATCGGTTTGTGAGACCCCAATTTTGTGAGATTAATCATTCATCTGCAATTTGGTTGTGTTCTTTCTTGTTCTTGCTTGTGTTCTTTGTTGTGCAGGCAGGGATTAGCCTTCTTGGCGAGGTCAACCTAGTCCGTGACTCGGTTGATAACCAGAGGAGCTGTGGTGCTAAGATTACAGGGTTCGATCTTTCGATCTGAAGCCGGATCGGTGTGTCATTCTCTGCCACAACGATAGTTACCAGTACCTGACGGAAGATCAGGATCCCCGTCCCCATTAAGTGGTAATCAGAGCTAAGGTATACCGTCAGGTTCACATTTATCCCCTAGTTTTGAGTGTTTCGCATTCGTCCCATAGTCCAGTGCTATTTTTTTTCCTATCCTAGAACCTTCCGCGCCATAGCCTTTGCATATTTCGGTTTCAGAGTCCGTCGTGTTGAGTTTGTGTCTTGGTCAAGGTCTTGTTGCTGGTTAGGTCGTGTTAGAGTCTAGTTTGTGTGTTTTCCCCCATCGTTTCTATCAAATCCTTGCCGTTGTGACCAATTTTGCGCGCATTGTTCCCGTTTTGTCCTCATCATCGCCCTTCAGAATCAACGGGAATCATCAAAACAAGTCAGCGTCCAGAATCTACCAGGGTGCTGCGACACCGTCTTTTGGTCCGTTGGACCGTGTATCATGTTTAGGCCCATTAGGGGGCGCGTCTAGGGTAGGCGACGACCCTAAGACCTTTATAATCATATGCCGCCACCGTCATTAGGTTTTGGGTTTTGCTTAGATTAATCTGTCAAGAACAGTTTTGCCGTTCATCGGTTTGTGAGACCCCAATTTCGTGAGATTAATCATTCATCTGCAATTTGGTTGTGTTCGTTCTTGTTCTTGCTTGTGTTCTTTGTTGCGCAGGCAGGGATTAGCCTTCTTGGCGAGGTCAACCTAGTCCGTGACTCGGTTGATAACCAGAGGAGCTATGGTGCTAAGATTGCAGGGTTCGATCTTTCGATCTGAAGCCGGATCGGTGTGTCATTCTCCGCCACAACGAGTGGTCCCCGACAAGCTTTGTCACACCCTAGTGGGCAAGGTCATTGTCCCGAAGGCTGGTGATGTACCTAGCTAATGACATATACAACACTAGCGTTGATTTTTTTTAACTTGACCATATCTTTCGAGTACATGCAATTCTTATTCCAATAGAAGAGACTTGACGCGAGTCAAATTTTCTTGTGGTGCCTGTAAGTAGTGGAGCCTTAAACTCATCCTCACATTTGGTTATATGTGCTTGGGCTAACCTTTTAACCACACATGTGTCATACTTTCCTATAGGAAAGATTGGATGGATTCGACCTAGTTGACTGTGAAGAATGTGTTCCTTGACCCTTGTCTCATTAACGGGGAATGACACACTGAACCGGCTATAGTGGAAGGATGATCATCCTGCATTCAACACTATCATTTTTTTCATGCAATTCATTCAACACTCTGATGCAAGGTGATAGACAAAATTATGAAGTCAGCGCATGATAAAGCAGGGTCAAAAGTTGCATTATATATCAGGAAGGCGACGCTAGCCTATCAGAACTTCCACTATATATACACCCGATACTATTTTGGGTATTATCACTAAACCACTATCATTCATGCAATCTGGTTTACCTTGGCCCACTGACACATTATCATTTTTTGTACTAATGCAACGATCACTTCATCTTAATAAGCATTGAAGTGAATTTTGGAAAAATGATGATTTATGACTCGCTAGGAAAAGAACGAAAGACATACGCAGGGTTCATCACCATTTTATAGACATAAGTAATCATAGTCTATGACTTGTGAGACTAACTATTGCATTCAATTGTTATTAAGAGAGATTGAATCTTTCGTTCTTGATGTCGATTAAACAACGCCTACAGATATTACATTAAATATGGAGTGCATAACAAAGATAGGCCAAAGAAGATGAATGTCGTTCTACATCCATGGTACAACCATTTCTACCTCAAATAGCGAGCATATTGATTAGATAGAACAATGCACTTCATTGTATTGTTTTTTGCATGTCACCGACTTGAAGTGCGCAAGGCAACCTCCTGGAAGCGTGCTCTGCTGATAATTTGTATGTCAATGGCTTAGAACCAACAAGTGGTACTACAGTAACCCCAAAGAAGTAAGTCAATTAGTGCAATCATGTCATTTGCATATGTTCATTAATTTGAATCTAATTTTTTCTCCTGTTCTGTACAATATCGTACGTTTTCTTGAGGTTAGTATTCATGCTTAGATTCTGGGTATAAATATTGGACCCCGGCTATTGTAAAAGACATCCAATCAATCAATACCAATTACTTTTTTTGGCTTCACGCCAACCCTTAGGAGTAGGAGTAGTGTAGATCTCGGCGAGTTCTTCAACAAGAAGGGCTACATCGGTTCGACCGACCTTTGGCTTGTCTATAAGTACCGTCATGGCTTATACTTCTGTTTGTGAGGCTACATCGGTCCGGCCGACCTCTTGCGAGCTCTAGTGTAAGCTAGTTATCGATTCTTACCTAGTTCAAGTACGGCTACATCGGTTAAGTTCGACCTCCACTGCTCGAATTAGATTAAGGTCAAGTTATCGGCTCTACCTAAGGGTGGCATCATTTGGATAGATTCATTAAGTTACTGATTTTGCTGATGTTCTTATTGTCATTAGTTTTAGCAATATCAGCTTGCCCGATCTAGATCGGCCTCACATCTTTCAGTCCCTCATTTATTTTGCTACATCATGATGGTTCTTACTTTAAACGACGGATTGTGTTTCATCGGCTGTTTTACTTCAATCTTGGTCGCACATAGTATGTGGTCAAGGCGTGTCTGATCTTGAGAAGGTTTACTAACTAGTTGAATCTGGTCTATAGCTCGCTATTATGGATGTAACGATCTGGTCGATCCCCACTGTTAGTATTTTAGATCGGAGGATGCTAGCTAGTAGATTTACTTTCAGCCAGGCGTGACCTTGACTGTTTGTATGCCTGCATCGGCTAAATAGCCGATCGCCTGTACTTTAACGCTTATAGTGTGTCTTCATGATTCTGTTAAGTGTGAATAGATCTGTTTATTTTAAAGGTTTGATTTGTTGTCTTTATCATGGCTGCCATCGATTCGGTCGAACCCCACTATTAAAGATAACAGGTTAGGTCTGATGAGTTTATAGATCTGTCCATGTTGAATAGTCGATTGTTCTCATGTTATAATCCTTTTTCTACCTGAATCGGCTATTTCAGCCGATTCGCATGCGCTTTCACACATATAGCATGTCTTTCAGAAACCTATCGACGTCTAGGTCGTTTTATAGATTCTTTGGCTTTAGTTTGTTGTTATCATCATAGCTGTATCGATTCGGTCGAACCTCACTATTGATGGTAACAAATTCGATTCAAAGCATTTATAGATCCATTTGTACTAGACAGTCGATTTGTTCGCATGTTATATCCTTTCTCGTTAAACTTATCGGCTCAATGCTTTACACCGGTTATATTTATCTAGATGATGATGTTACTTATATGTGGGTGCATTGTATTCATTACTGTAAAATCAATCATGACCCGTGAGCTTTACAGTCGATTTCTTCTCATATCGGCTATTTAGTCGATTTTCTCGTCTGGCTGCTCCCGAAGCGGCACACTTGGAACTGTCTGGGCAAAACCAGTATGTTCCACCTTAAATTACTGATAAACTTTCTGTCCTTATCAATTGCAGGTCAAATTGACTGGCACGCTGTCGGGAGGAATTCGCAGGGTCGACTGGTCCTGCGTTGAAGCCAAGCGGATCTCCAGCCTTGCTCCATCAAGCCGATCCTTCTGACTTGCTGTGTGTTGACATTTTTTCATGCCGACACACGTTCTGGCATGCCTAGTGGGACCCCACAATCATCATGGCAACTTACAACAATAGTGACATTCTTATGGTACCTTATGAAGACCTACCTGATGGGGATAAAGATGTCATTAGTAAAGCTATAGAAGAATTTCAGAACAAGTGTTTGTTGTCCTACACCAAGACATGTGATAATAAAGTTGTTCTGAAATAACCACTACCAAGAGTTTTGATGCATGAGCAGTTAGATATAGACGAAGCTGATGATAGGCATTTTTTCATAGATGCTGTAAACAAGTCTGTTCATGATACCATGTTGAACCATAATATAGCTTTCTTGAACACATTCCACAATACCATGAAAGAGGTGTTTCATGGATATCCAATTGATCAGATTGGACCAGCTTATTACAACATTCCACATCCATCAACTCAGGGGACTAATCAAGCCGGTACTAGCCATCAAGAAGCAGCACTAACTAGTAATGAGGATGTCCAGGCAGTTCAGGGCTCATCTGAACAAGTTTAAGGAACCACTACTAATCAAATGCAAAATAATCCTAGATTATTAGTGCAGTATGTGCAAGAGCCGACGGGGCAAGTTCAGA